AGTGTTCTTACCCCTTTTTTCTCATCCACCGGGTGTGGTCGAGGGGCTACATCACCGAAAAAGTCAGGAGGAGACCGCCACGCATTGCGGTTGGAAAAGCGCTGGAGAACTGTAGTACATGATGCCAGAGCCTGTAGATGGTGCTCTGTTCTCACAGAATCGGCCCATGCCAAGACAGTGTTCAATTGATGCGAAATGAGGAACGGCTCAATAATGCATGATCTGTATTGGTATTTTGAAACTATTATGAAGGAAGTATAAATTAATATTGTCCTTATCATCAATTAGCCTGTTATACGGATGGTCCTCATCACTAATTATTTATATAACTTTCAAGAATACCTTAGACACTGATAGTCCACTTTAAACTGGAGAACTCGTACAAAGTGGTTTCAATATTTGTATCATCATTTACAGGAGCACATTCTTCACGACAATCCTATGTATTGATTAGGCAGGCCAGGCTATAATCACATGTCTGCTGTGAAATGGTCTCATCTCACCCTGACTAAAACATTTTGATCGGGTAGACCCTCCGATGCCCAGTACGTTTGTCATCCGGGACGACAAATAGCACACGGCCACTACTGTTGGTCCTCTGGTCGAAGTAAATCCATCTACCTGAGGGAGGCGGGTTCTGATGGAGGTCAACCTGTCGCATGGAAAAAACATGAGCAAAAACTAACACATGCAGACATCATTCTGTGAGCTTGTCTGTGGTGTAAAAAGAAAAAAATTAATATATCACCTTCTCACCCGGCCAAGGTGACCATGTAACAGAGGTGCCGTTACATGAAGCGACCTGTGAGGTCCTGCTGCAAGTCTTCTGTGAACACATAGCGTCGTTCACGCACGGTGGTTGGCAGTCACGTTCTGTCAAAGGAGGGAGAGAGAAACGTCAATGGCAACTTTCCCACACTATCGCATGTATGACTGCCAGGTGAGCACAGCCGAATCTCCCCTGTCTTCCAAGTCTTCCATTGTAATTTTTACTTTAATCCTTTCCTCTAAATGCAGTTTATTAGCATCGCATCCACTCTAAGTATTTTGATCCTGCCTACTCTGTGACTCATTCTCATCACACTATTACTCTTTTTATGAGATATGACTAGGCCAAGAAAGGATTCAGGATTAAGTTTCCACTGACATTGACGTTCTTTTTTTTTTTTTGTAGATGTGATGCCTTGACTGAAAAAACACACTGTTTTCACACATACATGTAAATATATCTAATATGTATATATGACCAAAATATGTATATATGTTCATTTTTATTAATTTCTTATTTTAAAGTTGCTTAACTGTATATCATTTGATTTGTACTTTTATCTTTGATTTTATCTTTAATTGTATTAATCTCAAATCTCTGTCCTGTTTTTCATTCTTACCCTGTTGCTGTTGGAACTACTGAATTTCCCCACGGGGATTAATAAAGCTCTTATCTTATCTTACCCTGATCTTCACGTGAGTCCTCTTGCGGAGCCACTTCTCCCGGGGTTTAGAGGGGGTGAATTCTGTCACTTCTTTCCCGTCGAGCTCCAGGATGCTGGAGTTTTCATGCCTCATGACCTACGGGAGACATTTCAATGACTCATCCTCAGCATCTCTGAAGATGACTCACTTGTTAACAGGCCATAAAGAGTGGCAGGTCATCTGACTCACCTGTCTCAGGAGGAAAGACACAACATCAGTGGACTCCCAGTACGATGCGTGGAAGAGATGCGGTAAAGCCACGGTGGGGAAAGCAGTCAGGGCGTCGGGGCAGTACAGGGCGAAGTCCAGCCGCTTCGTGCCCCACCAACGTGCCGCCACTGCCATGGGAATCAAGTGAGTAGGGTGCAAATACATAAGGTGAAACATGCCACCCAGAGGTGCAACACCCCTGAAGCTAAAGCAAAAAGACAATTGAAATCACCGATCCCAGCTGTTCTTCAGCTAAAAGAAGGAAATTGGTAGTTTATATTTGTTATTGACATGAGAGCAAAAAGAAGAATGAGATAGTTAGAACCGACGCATGATCATATGAGCAACTGAAGATGGTTATTCATGTTAGTATTGACATGAAGAAAGATTTGATAGATTCATATATTATTCCTAATCAATGGAAGTAAGAACCCGTCAACATCAGCAAGTAAATGGGAAGAAAAAGAGGCTTTCTGGAAGAGCAGTGTCCAGTTTTTGGATTTTGACACAGCGTAAAGAAAACAGCTGGAGCTTCACGTTGATTTCAGAATGAATCCCCTCCCTTATAAAAATACCTTGGTCCACTTCAGCCTGGGAGTCCAGTGAGACCAGGTCAGATATAGCAAAGTCCAGTCCGGGTGAGAGGCAGTTCTCGTACTTGCCGGTGGGATTTATACTTTCACTACTGTCGGCCTCACTGTCCTGCTCTGACGCTAGATCTGCGTCAGGAGACCCTGCGGCATCGCCAGACTCCACTTTCTTACGGGAATTTGGAGGACTTCTCAGGAACAATTTGTTTTGTGATGAAAGCGCGAGTTGGGACAAAAGGCCAATTATTTTGGATTGGTTAATTTGGCATGATTTGGCTATGGGGAGAAAACAGAAAAAGAAATCACATGAAATACTGAGGCATTACAGTAAATACTTTAGATGTATACAGAATTAGTGATAAAATGACTTGGGCTTAAACGTTCAACATCCAGAATATATATATATAAATAGTAAAAATATAAAACAAAATACACATTTGGAGTGTATCTGCTAGAATATGATAGGCTATACAATTTTGAAATTTGGGGAAGAACACTTCTGTTTCCCCAAAAAGCCCTTATTTGGTTCGAAATGTTTTTTGATCTCAAATGGAAAACACAACTATTTTGGTGTTCTACAGTGAACAACTGAAAAGATGAATCGTTATATATGTATAATGTAAAAAAGTTAATTAACAAAGATGATTGTGTGAACTGCTGCTGTAATGTAAACCAAAAATAAAGGAAACAGAAAGCTGGGTTGAATATTAAAAGCTGAAAAACAATAGTTAGTACAGTTAAGGCAGCCTGCTGGTCTCCTGATGTTCCTGTATCGCATAAATAAAGATCTGTTCAGATTAGTTTGTGTGAAACTCAAGGGCTGTACTGTATGTGTTAAAAAAGCAGTGTGCAAAACAATGTGAGGTACAAATAAATGCTCTGATAACAAAAGTGAAATAGTGAGGGACGGAAAGACTTTGGAGGACAATCTCACATAAAACACGACAGAATACCGGCCGTCTCTGCAGACACGGCAGCAGGGAGTGGACGATGCAGGGATGGCTGAAGGAGGCAGGTGTCCACATGCATTGCCACATCAGAGAAATGCAGCCCTGGTTCATTGCATTTACATTTAGACAGTGGATAAGAGTAAGACAGACAGTGAAAAGTGGCGCTAAAACTTGCTCTTCTTCAGGACTCGCTTGCTCATAGTTGGGACTTTGAATTTCAAAAAGACAGAAAAAGTCTGGCCAGGCAGAAAAAGGGAGCTATCTGACTGAGTGCAGGGTGTGTGTAGAGTCAGAGCAGTGAGTAGAGTCGAATAAAGAAACAGAAATAACTGTAAATAAAAGCTAAGAGTGGGAATAAGTAGACCAGAGTGTGTGTGTGAGTGTATGGAAGAGAGGCTTGTTGGAGGTAAGAACACTTACTGTTGGCTATGTTGGTGGCAGTGTAACTGTCTGCCATTCCTGAGACCTGGCTGGCCATGCTGACCTCACTGGCCCTCCGCTGGCCCCGGGAGAGGGGGCCCGTTACGGGGGATGAGGGGTACGAACTGTCCATGAAGACACCACCATGAGACTGAACAACATCCGCTATTGAGCCGAAACAGGGAGATCCCATTAGACAGAGACACAGGTAACAGGAACTCACAGTGATGATGGGGGGGGGGATGGAGATTGGGGGGGTCGTCAGAGAAATGCGACTGTGGCAGGAAGCATGGTTTCAGAGGACATGTGAAAGCAGAAGGAGCCGCATGGTGGCCAAGGTCCTGAGGTGTAAATTAACTAAGGATTCACTACTAGTACTGTACTTAAGAACCTCTTTGAGGTCCTTGTACTTTACGTGAGTATTTAATTTGAACTGACACATTAATGCATCAATAATCATTATCAAAATGTATATAATATACTAGCTAATCTGCATAATGTGTACCCATACTTTTGGTTCTTTAAGTATATTTTGATGCCAATACTTTTGTACTTGAGTCACATTTTGTTTACAGGACTTCTACTTGTGACAGAGTATTCCTTCACTCTGCTACTTCTACTTTTACTTGAGTACTAGATCTGAGTACTTCTCCCACCTCTGCCAAAGTCAGATTTCTGTTGTCGACCCGTGGAAACATAGGCACATGAGCACATAAAGCAATACAAATGTCCACGTGTTGGAGCCACACTGTGTTAGTGTCTCTTATAAGGGTGATTTCTATCTAATGGCAAAGTAGCACAGTGTTAGAACGTCTCAGATATAATGTGAAAGTGTTGGAGGTTTTATAAAATCAGACGACCTCTCAACATTATCACAAGATGAAACATAGGGAACAGTAATTCAGGATGTATAGAATAGAGCTACATGTACACTAGACTGAACAAACATCACAAGCAGCACATCAACATCTCTCTGTGGTTCAGAGGGGAGAAAACCCTCTGCCGGCATCAATGATCTGATTTGTATGAAGACACACTGAAACCGGTTTATAAAACACAGCACAAACACAAACACTTGCTTCCCAAAAACACTGACATGACAAGACATGAATATGTGACGGCAACAACAAACTGCCACACCACATGAGATGCTTATCAGATTTTCCAAAGTATTTCCATGGCACGTTATAACAATCTTATATTGAACCATGACCCATGAAATAAATCATCTTACCCAAAGTAATTTAAATAGTTCAACAAATTGTGATACTGGGCATTGGAAGGTCTGTTCAAATCTTAGAAATGCACTCACACCAGCACCAAGGTATGGTTATTTGTAATACTCACGTTACTGTATTTATAACCTGCACTTTACTGCTTTATATATACAGTAAACTATATTGTATACAGCCTGTTTTATTTCACAGTACTTTAATATATTTTAGAATATTTGGATTATAGGCTGCACAGTACAGTAATTTAATTTGTGCAATACTTTTAAAAGTATTTGTAACATTGTTTCAATAATAATACTCCTTTTATATCTAAAAAAATAAAATCATGCTCTCATTGTACTTAATTTGAACCAGGTAGACGTGAACACTGAACAGGGAAAGGTGGTGTACAGTTAATACAAAGTCTATCAGTGATTCATCTGAAACTCGACTGCAGCTCTAGGCTCTTGAAACAACAGCAGTGGGAATACCCAGGAGGGACAAGGGCTGTCAAATGTGTAAATGGGGCGAAGCCTGCGAGCTAGTTCAGGCAGTCAACTCCAGCACCAATCATACATATACATTAACACGTGACGCACCTCGTCCCTCTGACAACCAACCAAACACATTCTCCTAAACCTGCCGCTCTATTTAAGCTGCCAGGTCTTCCTGCCTCTGCCTCGCTATGCTGCTGCTGCCACTGCTGTGTTCACTTGCTATTGCAGCGTTCATGTTCCTGATTGGTAACCAACAGGGAAGCGACAGTTCGCTCTGGTAAGTCACTCTGACGTAGGGGACACGGGCTACGGATTTGACCGTCCCCCGACCGGAGTTTCGGTGTGGGGGTCGGTGATTACCTCACCACTATCATCGGAGAGTGTAGTGGACGTAGACAGGGGGGGGGGGGGGCAAGTGACGCAGAGAGAGAGACAGGACAGGGACAAGGGTGTGTAAGGATCTGTCTCTCTCTCTCTGTGTCTCTCTGTTTTTTTGTATATTCTATTTGTAGTCTAAATTTGGAGTCATGAGTCTTAGACTTGATAGAAATTAACAGTGGTATGTCTGTCATCCATATTGTTTCTTTATCCGTAGAGAGTGACGTCTTTATACTTCACCTGTGTTTTTTTCCGTCACTATATTCGTCTCCATCGTTCGTACTGTTTATGTGTGTATGTTATCTTCCGTTAGTCTTTTTATTTACATATTAAAGTCTTTTATGTTGTTGAGTGCACAAAAGATTATACAAATAATCTTCGTCGTATATCAAACTCAAACTCAATCCGAGCCCAGAGTAGCGAGGTGTCTATTAATGCTTAATCTATTGATATGGCGTGCGAGTCCGACTTCGACCCCACCTTCGACCCGAGCGCGCGCACGCCAGGGGTCCGCTCGGTCGTCGTTGTAC